AGCCTACCACCCATCCACCCTGTTTCATTCTGACGTTCAGCTTATTGTAGTGGCTATAGTGCAAGGAAACTCATAATATAGTACCTCTGCAGGAATCTGCAGCAAAATTATCCCCCCTTCTGAATGAGATGAACCTTTCTCACTCCTGTCCAAAGTATTTGTACATGTTAAGCAGGATCTGGGTATGTCGAATTCTTTGACCAGTGGAAATCATAGTTCATCCTTTTGTTTCCTGTAAAAATGGTGTACAAGGAATATAGCCCCGTGTTACCAGGTTCATTCAAATATTTAAGATGAGGGATGCAGTTTGCATACCACATGCTTAAATAACCCCTACAGATTTGATTTGTAAATTTAAAACATTGACTTGGACTGCAACGGAGGACCATGCAATATCCAGAAAACAGTGCACCATGAAGAAATATAAACAAAATTACTAACAAAATAACAGAACAAAATCAAAGTTCTGAAACAAGCTACCTTGTAAACCAGACACACAATGTCAAAAGAACATATTTTCTAAAGTTCAAGTCACCAGAGGAAATCCAATGGGCTTATTTTACAGCTTTCTAAATAAGGGTTTTTGAACGTGGCAATAAATCAACACAAAATAAGATACAAATACCAAAATAAAACTAAAAACTAAAAAAAGAAAATTAATTGTAACTGAGAAGGCCTGCTGCTAAGGGTTACTTTTGACCCCCGCTATCCATTATACTTTGAAAGAAGCTGTTTTATCGTACACAAAACAGGATGAAATAAATAATGCCCGAATGCCCTATGAACGTTCCTGTAAAAGTTTAATTAAAAAATGTGCATGCTACTTTTATTGGCAATTATTCCTCAATTAATAATTAATCTCTCGATTGAAAAGGCTATCTTGGTCTTTAAGTAATATAGCCTGTAAAATGTCAGTAGAAGAAAAAAAACCAAGGAGAGCGGAGGAAGTAAATAGCTCAACAAAGCAAGAACATATTTAATGTCATCACCGCGAAATAAAAGGTTTGTCTCCATACAGCTCATATAAGGTCTACGGCTGCTTTCAAATGGATAGAAACGAAGAGAGCTTTAAACTGGCATCTTAAAGGTCAAGGGATGTTTGTGGACCAGTACAAAATTCAGATTTTCTATACTTACAAGCACCTGTCAGGCAATATGGCATGATTAACACTTTCAAAAAAAAAAAACCCAAACATTGTATCTGTACAAAGTATGGGTAAGTTCCTAAATATTATTTAATATTCAAGCTTTTTCAGGATCGATTGTTGATGGTTAATAAAAGTACTCCCTTCTTCCAAAAATATTTTGTTTAAAAAAAAAAAAAAAAAGTAAATGGTCAAAGGGAGAGTCTTTCGACGGAGTGTGGCTGGAGTAGGCTTGGATATTTTTGACCATTTTAAGCAATGGGTTATTTTCTTTTTGATGTTAAAAGTAATTTATAACCAGACCGTTTGTAATTGTATTCAGTAAGAATATATATATATATATATATATTTTTTTTTTTTTTTTGCAGTGCATGTTCATATAACAGTTGCATGTGAAGGTACCCCAACAGCAATCCTCCAACGCATTATAGTCATTTGGGTAAGTATTTATATTTAATAATTACACTTGCTCATACTGCTAGGTTCAATTTTTATTTGGGGTTGGACACATTAAAAGTCAAGAATTATATGTATGCCAAGTGAGAGAATTCATTATTTTATTTTCATTGTTTTATTCATTATGCAGGAATACTTTAAGACAACCATAATGATATAATGCCCTGGAATACATGTACACACACACAGATTGACACATTCTCAGGAATTGCCACACATGCGCCAACTGTTGCCCCCTGGGGTGGAGCAGAGCAGTGGTGAGAGAAAACCTGCCCCTTTAGAAAAAGGTTGAGTAAAGTTACTTTTTTTCATTTGGGGACCCTGGCATGTAATGGGTTAAAGTAATACTCCAAATATATCTGTTTTATGTTTGAGTGTTCATAATAGATTAAATGGTTACTACAAAGCAATTTTATACTATCTAGAATAATTTGTTTCATATAGTATCTCTATTTAGGTCCCCCGGAATCCAGTGCTCCACGTCCCATCCATCTCTATAAGTTCATTAAGAAGCATTTGATTTGCCAAGCATTAGGCTCAGAGCATGCAAGGGAGGAGGCAGGAGACTATGGAAGGGAGCATACAAAGGGAGGGTTCACATAAGTGATCAAGGAGGTTGGAGTAGCAATTTAATCTCATCATTACCAGTAATACCAGGGAGTGAAACCGATGATGTCTTTACCCTGTCTACCATATTAAAAGAACTGGCATTATAGGCATGTGGAAGTGTGTAGTACACCATAATGTAGGACCAAACTGTCCTCCAAGAGCTATTTTACATGAACTTGGATAAGTTTTTTTTTGCCTCAAAAGCATCGGACTATCATTTGAGAAAAGATGCACTTTTAAACTAATATTTTATATTAGTATTTTTAAATAAAGTTTATTTTGGTAATATTCTCTGGGTGCACAGCCTAATAAAATGTGCTGCACACTCCTAGATTTAATATTATGGGGGGGGGGGAAGGGAGATAGAGAGTGTGTGTGTGCGGGGGGCATCATTTATTCAGGCACCCACAAAAATGCACGCTTTTTGGTAGAACACCCAAATATGTCCTGGATTCTTTGCCTCTCTCCCATAGCGCCTTACCTGGAAATTAAGTACTGGTAGCAGTTGTTAATGAATATCAGCCAACATAAACAGCAGCTGCTATATGGCTGTGTGACTCCCATCATTCTCAGGCAGAATGGGACATGTATATGGGTCCGTGCAATACTTTTATTTTTATTTCACAGAGTGAGTTTATAAAATGGTTTGAAAACACGATATGCCACTTGAAATAACAGGCAGACCGTATAATCTATATTTATATATGTGGGTCTGTGTGTGTTGTGGTGGTAAAAACATATTTCCTACAAAATACAAGTTTCAACTTGCATTTGCACAATAAGTGCGCTGACAAGTAATTATGTGACAATCCCACGGATCAGTTATACAGCTATAAAGGATCAAACAATAGCAGTTTAAAAAAAAAAATGCACATATTTATTTGCTTAACACTAAAAAATGAAAATGAATTTCTTTGAAAACTAAAATGCTAAATGTAGGCTAAAGTAGCCAGGTTGTGACAACTGCAGAGTTGAAGAACATTCAAAGATCTGCTATTGTTGAGTTTAGAGAATAGCTCCAAAAATGTTTATATAAGTTTTTTTTTTTTTTTTTTTTTTTAAAGGTACATAAAATGATTAAATTGTATGCAACACAAACTGTAGCATAAAGGAATCATGTGAACTCTCACATACCTGTCCTGGTTAGTTTTACAGACATATACAACAAGACACTGAAGTATTTAAAAGATGACAACCACTATATGTTTTGGGTCCACACAGGTTAACCAAATTTCTCAAATATCACAGTGGTCTCAATGTATATAGAATTCAGGATTTTGCACTTTGACTCATTGGGTTCTCTACAGCACAGACTTTCCAAAACACAGGAAAACAGCTGCAGCTGTGAGTGAAATGCTGTATATATATTTCTGTAGGAGTAGGCCTTTTTGCCTGATGGGATTGTCCATCAAAGTGACGCTACACCGGGGGCTGCAATATAATGCCCCGTCAAGCCACTTAAAATTTTATTTAAAAATGCACACTGTGATTGTAAACCCAGCAACCCGTCCCTGACTCTTAAACTTCACTGTAAAGGTTTGATAAAAACCATATGCATGATGACTTGATTGAACAAAACTGTCATCTTCAGATGGACTGTAGCGTGCAATCATATTCATTTGAATTATAGCCCTTTCGATGACATAAGAGAGCAGATTTAAAAAAAAAAAAAATAGGGGAAGAAAAAACAAAAAGATCTAGACTCTTACAAACAGACTGAAGAATAATTAAAGTGTTTTGTTTTTTGTGGTTTTGATTTAGAGAGGTTTAATAAAATGTGTATATAACTTTTTACCAAACTTTGTCAAACATGTTTATTTTTTTTTAATAAAAGATGCTTCTGCAGAATATCCTGTAGAGTCCTGGATCTTCGGCTGGACATCTGAAGAGCACAGATGATAGATTGCATAGAGGGACAGTTTTATTTGAACTCGGTTGGTGGTGTTTTTCTTAATGTTCTTGTTTTAGAATTTGGGATGTCAAAGGGGAATAAGAGTTGATAACTAAAGACTTGATAAATAAAATGCTCAGTTATAGAAGCCAAAGTATGAAACACGGATATAAAGTGCTTCCCACTGTACCCTGTAGAAGGCAACAGTGTCCTTGTATATAGAATGTAGAGAAACTATACACCTTTGTCTGCTGTGGACTAAAAGGTTACATGGTTCCCTATAAACGCACTATACATGCTGTCTCATTGAAATAGCAATATGCGGGACTGATATCAACTGACAAAAATAGTACATTAAAATAAATAAAATAATTGCCTAGATCGAGATCATTCCCCATATGCCTAAACCAGACTTTAAGAGAAAAATACCCAAATATCGTAAAGAAAAACTAAAAATAAAACCAACCATATTATTTGTGTTCCCTTATTTAGCAGTTGCTCTTCCTCTTCAGATCATTCATCCAGATGACCTCTTGCCCAGTCCATTGCTTCTCTATAAAAAGCATTGGGTACCTACGAGGCATGCATGGCGGAAAACGTTTGTTTGGCCGAAAACCCCCAAAACATTTACTTATCAAATTTTGCTGATGCAGCAGCTTGGCTTATCCGAATACTGTACATGCAAACCGTACCAGAAAACCTATTCGACAAACCAAAAGAGTGATAGAGAAAAAAAAAAAGGGAAAATAAAAAGACCGATTACCATACTGCTAAATGTATACATAACATTCAAATGTATAGGTTTTGCAGTACAGTGATAGGCTGAACCCTGCTCTCTTTTAATTAAGCTAATTCCTGGAGGTATTCGGTTAAATCGAATTCTGACGTTTAAAGTTATGAATATTTACTGAACATGGACTTAACTTGAATAGTAAAATACCATTGTATTTAATTTGTATTTTACTATTCAAATTAAGTCCACATTCAGTCAATATTCATAATTTTAAATGTCTGGTTATTTTTGGCTATTCAGTATCCTTCATTTGGCCGATCATTGGTTTATTTATTTGTTCCTACAGCCACCAATCACCTCTTTTATATAGTACCACGGATGGAGCACCGAATTACAAAGCAATCAAACATACCGGTATTTGTCTTTTGTCGTGATACGTCCATGTGGTGCATTGGTGTTCTGGAACTCATATGACCCTCTAATTGCACAAAATGTTTTGCAATCAGTTTGAAACCGAATAGACAAATCTAACAAACCCTATGTTCAGCCATCCCAATACTTCTCATAAAGAATGCTTGCCTATGAGAGGTATTTTGAGAGTAGGAGGCATTATGTCATTATACTGTGAGTCATGTTGCAAAATATGAAGACGTTCAATAACTGAAAATCTTCCGTGAGAAAGTTCTTCTAGTGAGTGACTCTAACCACCACTAGAGCCTTGGTTACAGCAAAATAAAAATATTACGGACTCTCTGAAATGGCAATATTTATTACATTGCCACGTAAAAGGGAAAGCATATATGCATCAAAACCACTTCATTAAGTGGACGTGGTTTTGGTGTTTAGAATGTCCCTTTAAATGTCTGTGAGATATTTAGATTTAAAAATCAATAGCCATCTCTGGTCTAGAGTAGTATTATAATGGTTTTTGAAATAGTATTGTGTTTAATAACTTTTCCTTCTGAATCCAATGATAATATGTAAAATGTATAGTGGAGCTTTCCTTTTAATAATGTATTAAAAAAAAACAAAAAAAAAACAAAACTTTTTTTTTTAAATAAAACTGGAAAAGTAAGAATTCTGAGCATGTGTTTACTGTCTTTCAGCAGACTGTGAACTCATAAAGCGATAATCGCATGTATAATTTTTCAGCATACCACAACATGATTGATGTCAGTGTATCTTTAAGATATATTATGTGTAATTGATAACATGTGGGCAGCACAGCTACACTTTTCATCAGTATAATCATACTTCGGAGTCCGTGCAAATGTTTGCGTAAATCACATTTTCTTCTAATCTAATAAATTGAACTGAGGTTTGGAATCTAATGACCAATGTGAACTATGTAAATCTTTACCAGATATTTATACAACGTGTTCATTACCAGTATAACAACATAAATGTCTTGCAATCCTGTTCGAATAACTGTCCTTTGAGAACAGAGTCTGTCAAAGGGATTTTCTGCTCACATTACAGGGCTGCCGATTTTTAGAAAATCACACCTGGAAGGTTTTTTTTTTTTTTAATAGACGTATAGCAGTGACTCTAGTTACATTTTAATGGAATGTATGTAGTGACATCAGCTCTCCACTAAGCATTAAAATGTCACAATAGAATCATCAGCCAAGCAGGCGCAAATCGCAATGGACATGCCCAGGTACAGCCTGAAATGCTTTTGCATGTTTATGGTAAACTTTTTTTATTGTGGCCAATATTGGTAGCACATGAATAGTATATAGCATCTCTCGTGACATCATGGAGATCCAATTATATGCCAATTAAATAGTTTTTCTATATATAAAAATATAAATAAGCAATATGTATGATATAATAGTCCTGACCTCCTTCACCCACTCCCCCAATCCCACCCTGGTGCTATCTTTCCCCAGGATTAGACACGATTTGCCATGTAAAGTATATGCATTACACAGGAGAACTTTGAACATGATTATGTAAGGGACATTATTTGATGGGTTGGTTTTTGTTGTGAATGTCTTTAAATATGTGCTCATGCAAATTTAACCATACCAACTCATACCTGCAATGGCGGCCCATCAAGAAGCAGGGAGGGACAGGACTGCAATTGGCTCTCGTTCAATAGAAATTAAACACTGAACATTGGTATAGTAACAGGAGACTCCAGGCACCATCACCACTTTATTGACATGACATGGTGCTTTGAGTGTCTCTAAGAAACAATGCCTTAAAATGTCTAGAATAAGTGCATTTTAAATAAGTAAAACTTTAAAAAGTTAATGTTATTATAAAGAAAAAAAGTAGAGATGCAGGAAAATTATATGCATAAAAGCATAATAGGTTTACAGTGCAATATCCTTCTAGATATATTTCCAGATTTTGGGGGGGTAAATTTCCCTTCTAGTTATTTATTTTTAGTGTTACATGGATTAAATGTGACTGATATTTTTCAATTGAGCGTTTCAAACTATTTATAATATCAAGTCAATTAAAAAGGGAAAACGATTCTGCTCTAAAATATGAGGAAATCACGGATACAAATTGCAGCACGTTTCATTTGTTTTTTAATTGACAGCCTCGAGGAGCATCGCACATCTGCATAACAGTACAAGGAAAGGGTTGACGGTTAGTGATGGAGAGAAAATTAGATTCTTTTCACAATGGCCAAGAAGTGAAGTCAACTGCCTCACCTTTTCAACTTAGATTACAGAAGAGACAACCATGAAGAGACAAAACGAAGGATCTCTAGTGAAAAGGTGACACAAGGGTTCATTTAGCTCGAAAACCAGAAAGGCAATAAAAGGATGGGCACAGTAAGGATGGGCTTCATCCATCAGTCATAAGATAAAGCAGGCTGAAAATTCCACAGCTGGTTAGAAAGCTTTTTTTTTTTGTTCTTAATGTTCCTTTAAGAAGAATATTTTGCATTTAATTAAATAAGGATTCTTTTTTTCTCTTTCCATGTAATCAAGTGTAAGTAGAATATGGCAAAAAGAGAATAGGAAATAAATCAAATAATTGTATCTTCAAAACAACACTCAGAAAGTAAGAGTATTGCAGAATCTTGTAAAACATCATTTTTCCAATCCAAGGTTTTAAGCATGAACAATATGAGCAACTCTTAACATCTCATTTTAAAATACTTCTAGACCAAAAAAGGAAAGCTATAATAAAATACTGAACTATTGTTTCATTTTGCATCTGTCTCTCTAATATAACTATTTCATGTACATAAATGAAGGCAGCACTGTCACCCCCACCAATATAAATATTTCATATATATATGAAATACATCAACTGTGTTGCAATATCATTGACATTTTGCAAGACACAGATTCAGGTATGACTCACCTTCTCCTATACCCTCGGGCCACCGGACACTGATTGGAGTAGTCGCCGTTGGGAGTCTCAAATTATACGAACATCCCTGTGAATAATATATCCCTATCTGAAGTTTCTCTTATAGTTACGCAACATAGTGATTTCAAATGGATGGAGAGTCTATGTGACCAACCGCTCAAATGACAAATGGCATCCCACAATTTGTGCATGCTGGCATTCATTTGTGGGGTGCCTACAGTTTGCCCTTGTGTGTAGTCTTTACTGCTATGCTGATGGTATAGCAGTAAAGTCAGAGACGGTAAAATTAAAGTATAGCTTAATAGCTCTTTTTCGACACATTTGCTAGAAAGTTGGCTAGTAAGATGTCTAGATATAAAGTTACAAAGTTATGTTCATCATCACAGGTGCACCTTAACCCCTTAAGGACACATGACATGTCTGACATGTCATGATTCCCTTTTATTCCAGAAGTTTGGTCCTTAAGGGGTTAAAGGATCTCTCCATGCACCATAACCACTACAGTGCACTACAGAACTTATGGTGTTAGGAAAGTCCTTCTACCCCCATGTACATAGTCAAACTGTCACACAGGAAACATTCTGTATGGAGAGCCGGAAGCTCTGTAGTGGTTATGGTAATTGAGGTGTTCCTATAATGTTGGGAATTGAAACTGAGTCAGAGTGGCTAAAATGCCACCACTTTGCGAACACAGCCAGCTCACTTCAAATAACCATTTTGGTGTAGTCACCCTACTGACACCGATCAGGAAAGAAATCAGACAAGTATAACAACAGATGTTCAGCATGTACCTTGCAGACTACCTGGTGTGAGGCTAATGTGGGTCAAGCCACATGCATTTTAAACCTAGATGTTGTTACTCATATTGTAACAGTTTTCCTTTCACAATTTATTGGTGGAGTTTTATGGTCTCGTTCCACTCCACAACGCACACAAACAGTCCAGGAATCAGGTATTCCTCAGTTCTGTTCCAGAGCGTCACTGGCCATCCTGGACCCTTGGCATGCCTTTTGGGCTGAATTGTGGGCCACTGCTGCACAGTGCTGAAATGCAATTTTCTTAATCACAGGTGTACTTTAAAAAGAGACGGCAGGTACAATAATATCAAAATACACTGTGCTCTTTGTTTTGCAGTTAGCAAATAAGTAATCCAAAAAAAAAAAAAAAGAGACAAAAAGACAAACCCCAAACAATATTTAGACCCTTGATTCTTTGACATTATATTCAAACTGTGAAAATAAGAATCTGTTGTGAGTCCCGTTGAAGTCACTATGAGCCTTGTACAAACATACTCCATTTTTTGAAGTTATAGTGGATACACTACATATAAAAGGCATGGCTAAATATCCAACTCAGACACCTGTAGGAGAAGGATATGAAGAATTAAGGAAGGTTTTATTCATTAAACACAGAACTGTAGTGTAAAACAAACTGAATAAGTTCATCAAAATATTCAGGCCATTTAAAGAGACACTATAGTCAAAAGAACCACTACAGCTTAATGTAGTTGGTCCGGGTGTGTATAGCATGCTACTGCAGGCTGTTTAAAGTAAACACTGCATTTTCAGAGAAAAGAAATTACTTAGGCAGCCACTAGTTAATTGTCCTGAGTCAGAGCTGCACAGCGTGTTGTTGTTGTTCGGGTGTGTATAGCATGCTACTGCAGGCTGTTTAACCCCTTAAGGACGAGCCAAATGTACACATTGTGAACAAAACAAAATGTAAACAAAACCTGGCATTTGCGCTACATGTCTGTCCAAACGTAATACACCTCTTTCATAGTAAATGCACCCACCCTTATTATATATCATTTTATTCAGGGAAAACAGGGCTTTCATTTAATATCAAATATTTCGCTATGAAACATAATTTAATATGAAAAAAATGGGAGAAAATACGTTTTTTTGGGATTTTTTTAGTTCCACGTGACATTTTAACGGTCAATGTCATAATAATGTTTGTTTTTACTGCAATAAAATACACATATTTATATTCAGTAAAGTCTCACGTGTAAGACAGTACCCCCTATGTACAGGTTTTATGGCGTTTTGGGAAGTTACAGGGTCAAATATAGCACGCTACATTTGAAATTGAAATTTGCCAGATTGGTTATGTTGCCTTTGAGACTGTATAGTAGCCTGGGAATTAAATTTACACCCATAATGGCATACCATTTGCAATAGTAGACAACCCAAGGTATTGCAAATGGGGTATGTCCAGTCTTTTTTAGTAGCCATTTGGTCACAAACACTGGCCAAAGTTAGCGTTAGTATTTGTTTGTGTGTGAAAAATGCAAAAAACGCCAATTTTTGCCAGTGTTTGTGACTAAGTGGCTACTAAAAAAGACTGGACATACCCTGTTTGCAATACCTTGGGTTGTCTACTATTGCAAATGGTATGCCATCATAGGGTTAATTTTCATTCTTGGGCTACCATAGGGTCTAAAAGGCAACGTAACTAATCTGGCGAATTTTAATGTGAAAAAAATGAAACACAAGCCTTATATTTGACGCTGTAACTTTTGAAAACACCATAAAACCTGTACATGAGGGGTACTGTTGTACTCGGGAGACTTCGCTGAACACAAATATTTGTGTTTCAAAACAGTAAAAAGTATCACAGCAATATTATTGTCCGTGTAATGCTGTTTGTGCGTGAAAAATGCAAAAAACTTCACTTTTACTGGCGATATCATCGTTGTAATACATTTTACTGTTTTGAAACACTAATATTTGTGTTCAGCGAAGTCTCCCGAGTAGAACAGTACCCCCCATGTACAGGTTTTATGGTGTCTTGGAAAGTTATAGGGTTAAATATAGTGCTAGCAAATTAAATTTCCTTTACTTTCGGCATGGATTGTCAGGCAGGTCCCGCTAATTGTAATTAATTAAGATACCTAATTATGTAAAAATATTACATAAATATATATGTAGAATTAATATATGTATATATATACGTATGTGTATATATATGTATATATCTATATAATTTTTTAAAATATTTTTATTTATATATAGGTATATATATAGTGATATATACGTATATATTTATGTATATAGATATATATTATTTTGTTCTACGTGTATTTTGATATAAATATATATATATTAATATCACAATACAGTTAGAACGAAATAACACACATCTATATATTTTTAAATTTTTGTTTAATTATTTTTTTAATTTTATTTTTAACGTATTTACATATTTAATTTTTTATATTATATATAAATATATATAACAATAATTATATATATATATTTAATCAGTATCAGTCTACGTGTAATTTGATATTTATATATATATATATATATGATCTAAGTATGTATATATATATATATATGATCTAAGTATATATATATATATATATATAATTATATATATATATTAATAGTAAAATACACCTAGACAGTGTATGTGTGTGTATGTATATGTGTATATATATATATATACTTAGATCATATATATATAATATATATATATGATCTAAGTATATATATTTTTTTTACACTAATACATTTTATTTTAATTTTATTTTCAGCCAGCAGGGGGACCACCTGTCATTACAGGCAGCCCCCCTGCTGGCAATGCAGGAGGCAGCTACCCCCGGCCATGTGATTGTGGGGTCCTCGCTAGGACCCCACTCTCACATGGCCGGGGGGCTTCGAGAAGGACGGAGGTGCTGCGGGGGGCTCCCTGGGAGTCCCCCGAACCGCGATCGCCGGCGACCGGGTAAGTACCGAAAGACCGGAGGGCGTACTATTACGCCCGGCGGCGTTTAGAGCCGCTTAGAATAGGGCGTAATAGTACGCCCTCCGGTCTTAAGGGGTTAATGTAAACACTGCATTTTCAGAGAAAATAAATTACTTAGGCAGCCACTAGTTAATTGTCCTGAGTCAGTGCTGCACAGTGTGCAGCACGGATATTTAGCGTCTCCACGCTCTGCATTGTGGCAAGGAGAATTCCCTTATATAGATGCATTGATTCAGAGCATCGCTATGAGGAGATGCTGATTGGTGCAGCACAACGGTTTCCTATAGAAAAGCATTGGATGTCTGGGACTGTCAAATTTGATTACCTCAGCCAAGGAGGAAGCGTGCGGGGCGAGCCATGGTGAGACCGTCACATCGCTAGAAATAAGGTGAGTTTAACACATTTTTAAAGACAGGAGAGGGTACCCCAGCCACCTAGACAGCACTTTTAAAAACAATAACGTCAGTAAAACAGGTTTGTATTCCTGACCCAATAGTGTTCTTTAAGTAAATAAATAAGGTCTATAATAAATCATCTGAAAAATAGATAAATTAAACAGCCACTCAGACTTAGATACATGGACTAATCAAGGGAAGGAGGTATCGGAGAATCTCACTCATGCCGGTGTCATATAATATATGTTAATATTATTGTTATCAAGGCCGGAGGCTAGGCAGGGATTACTGAGGGATGTTAATGGTGCTGCAATGGTGTGCAGCGGTATTAGGTGGAGGTGATACAGTACCTACCTACAGTTGTGAAACCATAATAATGGTGTTGGAGGTATTTGTGGTACAGGCAATGGAGACCAGTTTTCCATTTTGTCTTTTGTTGCCTAAAATTTATATTTTTCTGTTTAATGCTCAACGATTCAATGTTAAGTGAAACTCCATCAGGAGTCATGCTACATCTGCATGTAAAGCATATTTTCTGAATAATCTAGTTTTTTTTGTTTTTTTTTACCAATCTGACCAGTCAAGTTAAATGAGAAAAAAAGATATAAAACTATCAGAGACAAACTACACAATCACTATCGGTTTAGAAATGTATTGAAGAGCAGCGTTTGTTGGTCTACACTACAAGCACATAGATCGTTTATTAAAGCGACAATTCGGACCCCTAGAGCACTTTAGCTTGCTGAAAAGCTTTATGTGTGAAGAATGTGTCCTATGTTTTTATTCTGATTGACACTTTTACAAATTAACCTGGTTACACCGCCTGGCTTTCAAGCAGACAGCCAGTCTGGTTACTTCCTGGTTTGGTTAACTCAGTGGAGCTAAACTCATGAGACAGCAACTGCCCAGAGCACCTACCTTGCAAAGACTTATTGGAATTTTTTTTTTTTTTTTCCAAGCACATAATTTTATTAATCAAATTTCAAAAATGATTTGTGAGCAATGTCAAGCTATATGGACATCTAGCCTTTGCACTGTATGAAGAGTTCAGAGTGTAAAACTGCACATATCCCAAACAGTGGCGTACATACTTGCGATCCGGTATGTACCCAGTGTGGCCAGTCTCTTCTCCTGGGGGGCTCAGGCACCGGCCACTTCTGAGCCCCCCGAGGCTGGCCCTGGTGTCACCTGGTGGGCACATGAGGGAGCACTCTTCCCTGAGTTCTCCCTCTTCAGCTCCCTCACGCACCGCACGAATGCTCCGGCATCAGGACACAGCAAGCGAGAGAGCTGAACAGGAAGCACTCAGGGGAGAATTCCCCCCATGCGCTTGCCAGCCTGCCCGCCCGATGACACCACTGGACCCCAGGGAATCCCCTCAGCACTGACTAAGGTAGGGAGGCTGGGGGATGACATTTTCTAAAAAAACATGTGTTAGTGTGTGTGTGTTATTGAGCCTGTTTGGTGTCTGTTAGTGAGTGTGTGTTTTGTAAGTGAGTGTATATGTATGTATGTCTGTCAGTAAATGTGTGTGTCTGTTAGCTAGTGTGTATGCATCTGTTCGTGAGAGTGTGTGTCTTCAGCACTTACCTTTCTCCAGCGCCGGACTCCCTTGGTGCTGGGTATCTCTCTGCCCCGATCTGCCTCTCAGCTCCGAATGCGTGGCAAGAGCCGCGCGCGCATTCAAACTGCCCATAGGAAAGCATTACTCAATGCTTTCCTATGGACGTTCAGCGTCTTCTCACTGTAATTTTCACAGTGAGAATGGCGGAAGCTCCTCTAGCGGCTGTCAATGAGACGGCCACTAGAGGCTGGATTAACCCTCAGTGAAACATAGCAGTTTCTCTGAATCTGCTATGTTTTCAGCTGCAGGGTTAAAACTAGAGGGACTTGGCACCCAGACCACTTTATTGAGCTGATGTGATCTGGGTGTCTGTAGTGGTCCTTTAAATGTATGTGTATCTGCATGCACCCAGGGGCGTATTAGCCGCGAGGCAAACAAGGCATTTGCATTGGGCGGCATTTTTCAGGGGGCGGCAAAAAAGCCGCCCCCCAAATGCCCAAGGCAAATGTCTTGTTAGCCTCGCGGCTAACAGACATTCTGGGCGCTGGGCGGCAGTGGCAGCAGCGCTGGGCGGGCGGCCGCCGAGGGAGCTCTTCCCCTGAGCGCTCTGCTCAGCTCCCTCGCGCGCCACCAGCAGAGTGAGGCCGGGAGCCGGGTTGATGACGTCATATTCCGGCTCCCGGCCTCACTCTGCTGGCGGCGCGCGAGGGAGCTGAGCAGAGCGCTCAGGGGAAGAGCTCCCTCGGCGGCCGCCTGCCCAGCGCTGCAGCCACTGGACCCCAGGGAGAGGAAGAACCCCCCCCAGCATTGCCAAAGGTAAGGAGGCTGGGGGGGGGGTTGAATAAAAAAACACTAGTGTGTGTGTGTGGAAGTCTGTTAGTGTGTATGTTAGTGTGTGTATGTATGTTAGTGTTAGTGTGTGTATGTGTGGATGTCTGTTATACACACACTAACACTAACATACACACTAACAGACACAAACACTAACATACACACACACACTAACATACACACACTAACACTAACATACACACACTAACAGACACACTAACATACACACACACACACTAACATACACACACTGTTAGTGTGTGTGTGTATGTTAGTGTGTCTGTTAGTGTGTGTATGTTAGTGTGTGTGTGTATGTTAGTGTGTGTGTGTGTGTTAGTGTGTGTATGTTAGTGTGTGTGTGTGTGTGGATGTCTGTTAGTGTGTGTATGTTAGTGTGTCTGTTAGTGTGTGTATGTTAGTGTTTGTGTCTGTTAGTGTGTGTGTATGTTAGTGTGTGTATGTCTGTTAGTGTGTGGATGTCTGTTAGTGTGTGGATGTCTGTTAGTGTGTGTATGTTAGTGTGTCTGTTAGTGTGTGTATGTTAGTGTGTGTGTCTGTTAGTGTGTGGATGTCTGTTAGTGTGTGTGTCTGTTAGTGTGTGTGTGTGTGTGTGTGTGGATGTCAGTGTGTGTCTGTTAGTGTGTGTATGTTAGTGTGTGTGTGTATGTTAGTGTGTGTGGATGTCTGTTAGTGTGTCTGTTAGTGTGTGTCTGTTAGTGTGTGTATGTTAGTGTGTGTGTGTGGATGTCTGTTAGTGTGTCTGTTAGTGTGTGTATGTTAGTGTTAGTGTGTGTATGTTAGTGTTTGTGTCTGTTAGTGTGTATGTTAGTGTTAGTGTGTGTATGTTAGTGTGTATGTTAATGTTAGTGTATGTATGTTAGTGTTAGTGTGTGTGTGTCTGTTAGTGTGGATGTCTGTTAGTGTGTGTGTTTGCCTGTTAGTGTGTGTGTGTGTTTGCCTGTGAGTGTGTGTGTCTGTTAGTGAGTGTGTGTTTCTGTTAGCTAGTGAATGTGTATCTGTCAGTGAATGTGTGTGTGTGTATTTAGAAGGCGGAGCAGGGGGGAAGGTTGGGTGGCGGTTGCGCGGGTGGGGGTGGCGCGGGGGGGTGCCTGAGTTTTGTCCTGCCTAGGGCAGCACAAAACCAGGATACACCACTGCATGCACCGGCGTACATACCGCGGTCGCAGGGGTCGCAGCCCTGCGACCAGGTGCCCGCCACCATGTGTTGTGGCCCCAGGCCGCGCAGAGTAAAGGGGGGGTTGGGGGAGCGGATCAGTTTTCGCACCGGGGCCCCATGGGCCAGTTCTAATCGGTGTTCTACCATCTTAGATCAGTGATGACACTTTTCGCCATTGAAATGCTTCTGAACTACTGAACTATGTGTGCTATGATGCTTAGTTAGCTTTATAAGGGAACCGCCACATCCTAGAACTGTACTATAATTTTACATTTGCCATATATTTAGCTAATATACATTTGTGAGGTCTGAAAAATTAAATTAAAGGTGCACTCCAAACACCCCAACCACTACAGTGTGCTGTAGTGGGTAAGGTGCCAGGAGTGCCAAAGTGCTGACCAATGTAAGGAGTCAAACCATTTTAGAATAGTTCAAATTTTTACCTTGTGGTCAACCGGGCACCACAGCCTGTTTCCTCTGTAGGCAGCCAGAAAGGCTTAACTCATTCACTCAAGAAGCTCTCCTTAAGCTCAGAACGAAGAGTTAACAGAAGCTCGTAAACGGTGCTTCTAGATGAAGATGAAGCCTACAGAGGGTTGGAGAGTCACGCCCAGTGGACCCCTGATGAGAAGTCAAACCACTGCTACTTACAATAGAGGAGGTGGGGGTAGAGCATTTCAGGCACCATAACTACAACAGCACGGGTCATGGTGCTTGAATTGGTCTTTCAAATGTAAAAAACCACAATGCTCTATCCTGGTACGGATTGATTGCCGTCAATCATTGTTATAAGGTCTTCCCTTTGCACCAGGAAGTTGGCATAGACAGAGCATACTGAATGGAGGAGAAACAGAAATAAAAAAATAAAAAAATACATAGTATGCCATGGCTGAGCCTGGCCTGAACCGGGTTGTAAATTGCTAGATCACAAAGCCACAAGTTTCAGATGATTTTCAATGGTGTAATTTCTAAAGAAGTGACAGTTTCCCCCTATAGGGTGCTTGAGGTGCCATTCAAACCCTTTCACATATGTCACCCCTTCTTAAATGAATATTGCCCACCTTCTTTATGTAATTCTTCCTCTTGGCAAAATGTATCAGCAAAATTATATATATAAAAATAAATAAGATATATATATCATATATACACATATATAGAAACAAATCTTAATAAATATATCCATTTTAAGAAGCACAGAATTTCATTTTCAATGTTTGTTTTTTTTCTCCTTTTTAACCTCAAACAAATAAAAGGTTATTTCAAGTTTGATGGCAAGGGAACCTATGGTTTCATAAAGTACTGACGATATTCTGAAAAGTTAGAGAAAAATATTTTTCAAAACTTACAAAACAAATTTTGAATATATATTGTACAGAATGATTACAATCACTAATTGTCCATATAAGGAGGTTAAAGGAGTCTCCTAATGTTGTAGAATAAAGAGATTGCAGGAAGCTGGATGAAAATATTTTGAAAGTAATGTGTCCGTTTAAAAAAAAACAGACAAAAATAGGACCATCATAAATACCTTCATATGCCAGATTAATTACAAAAGATGCCTAGAACTAGGAAAAACATTATACGCTTTAGATTTTGAGTTCAAAGGCATGTTAAACCAGATACATTTCTCTTCGGTTCATCTAAGTGGGTGGTATGGTTTGTCCGGAGCTAAATCCTAATTTTCCGATCTATTTTTGTGACACAAATATGCACATATTAACTACTTAATCTGAAACTTGTTTAGTACTAATTTAACTCTTTCAACCAGATGAACTATAAAAAAATAATGCACCAAAATACACTAAATCCCTGCTGTTAATAAATCTTAGAACGCCAATAGCGAAAAAACAAAACTGAATGTATACATTTATACTTAAAATGTAGTTACATTTAACTGCTCAGAACTATAATTCCATTGGTGCCCTAGGCACTGGGGTTCATTGAGTACAATGAAAATACTGCAGAACTGGAAACATAATTGCAAATGTTATGCTGCTGAGGAAAAAAAAGGTGAGTACAGAAAAATGTGCTCAGTTTATCATTTGATTTTTGCCCTCTTATCTACCATAAGGAATTTGGCACGCAGCCTGTATTTTCTGTGTGTATATGTGTATAATATATATATATATATATATATATATATATATATATATATATATATATATATATATATATATATTATATTTACACAGACACACACACACACACACCTTTTTTTTTAATTTTTTATTAGCATTCCTGTAGTTGCGATGGTCTGTTTCTTTTAAAGAATCGCAGACATGGAGTCATTTTTTTCTGCATACAAACTTTTTTAGGAATGCGAGTTTGCGCTTGGCAATAGTGTCTATGTTGTAACAAATTATGGGTGCAGTTCATCTGGTTTCTGTCAAACCATTTTCAAAGTAAGAGTTCCTCCCGCCCCCCAGCACCCAAAAGGCCACCCTCTTCCCCACTAATATGTTAACAAGCCCAAATTATAAGGTCATCATATGCGTACTAGTTATCATTTGCTGTGCTGTATTGCCTTACACCGCCAAATTGAGATGGACATCCTGTAACACAATTTGCCATTCACTCCTCTAACATGATGCACTTGGTTCTATATGTTGCAATCATAATATATTTTACATGTTCTTTCTCAAGACTTGTGGATGAGTGCTGCCGTCAGCTTATCTTGACTAGTCAGTATGCATTCAGTCTTTACAAAGTCTGTATGTCAAATGTGTTATCTGCCCAAAATGTATTAGGGCCATATCAACAAATAACTCCATCTCACTCTTATGAATTTATCTATTTGGCCCTGTCAAAATAAGACTGGCACTTCTAACGGGAGACATTGAGTACAGCTGTGTTCCCAGCAAACATTGATACAATCGCAGCTCTGTGCATCTGGAATTTATATTATAGTATAGTTTATAATGTGTTTCTCTTCTAATTAGTTCTTACAATTGTAAATGTTGGGCTTCTATGGAGATAATCAAATCGCTGATTACCATTAGCCTGCTCTTAAAATATATTTACAATATAACACTGCAAATTGTATATTGCCAAAGAGTTTGTCTCCCTTTCAGTCTGACGGGCGTAAAGAGTAAGATTGTCAGTGTAATTTGGAATTTCATTGTGTACAACACAAGTGCATTTGTGTACAGAGCAGCTTTTATTCCAAGCCAGTATTTTACAGTGTTCCTGCTATATAGCGAGAAGTAAAAAAAATTAAAAAGACAGAAAAATACACATTCTAAGATATTTTACATCTCTGACAGATGAACGGGAGATGTGCCTGCGTAATACATTCTATGCAGAATACAACTCAAAACAATGACTTGTAAACATATTGATATTTTCTAACTCTGTTGCTAGAAAAATAGCTGGGAAAAAAAATAAAGAGATGTTGGCTAGCAAAATATAGGAATCAGCAAAAATAAAAAGCATGAATCAGGAGGAAATAGAAGGATCAGCATTGACCCAGGATTCAGAGCTTGCTCGAGAGAACAACTAAAGACAGGTAATCCTTATGTTCTGAAAGGCAGACAATGAGAACAAATAGAGATGCTCTATAAACAGTGTGTTACAAGATTCTCCTCACTCGTAGGTTCAATGCCATCATTCAGATCATATAGCTGTCTTTCAGCAATTCACATGGTCTAGTCTTTCTGTAAAGTACATCCTGCACTGCTGCAGCTGAATGAGAATATGAAATAATAGTTCAAAAAGGAACAAAAAAAATAATAGTTCACTCTTTTTAAATATGTGTTTTGGGACAGTAATAAGCCAGACAGAAGGGTTATTAGATCTTTGTTCATGGCAATAGAGTGTTCTCTGGAATGATTACATCCCCAACCCTATTCCCCACAACCCACCCCCCCCCAAAAAAAAAAGAAACCACTGAGAATGGTATCCTGTTGCCGGTAGAGTTAGGAGGGAAAACACAGGAACTGGAGATAATACAATAATACACAAAGTTTA